TGGACAAGAGACAGATAATGAGTCAAGCAATCAGACAGAGTTAATTAATTTTGTGATTTGCTATTTTATAAATATTCCATGTGTATTCATTTTAGGAAAATAATGAATTTTACGATGGCGCAACTTTTTCTATCCGATTCAATATATAAAGAACATGCTTGTTATGCATATACGATTTTAAAAGTATACAAATTAACAATTTTTTATTATAAGTTGCAAAAAAATGGTTTCTTATGCCGTGGTCTATTTGCTGAGCGAATAGGGGCAGATTACAGAATTTCGAAAATTAAAAATTGATTGATTCTGCTACAAAAATACCACCACGAGAGTAGTCAATTATCTTGTAAAAAAATTATCAAAAAAGCGTAACTCCAAAAGAACAAAAAAAAAACGCTTTTTGGTCGGAAAGGTTTAGTTGTAAATTTAGGGTCGAAAATTGGTACGTAATCTGAGGTTTTTGCATGGTGGTCAATTCTATTTTTTTTTCCGAAAGGTTGGCCACAGGGAATGTAAAACTTTACTTGCGTATTCAGGGGCTTACGTAATCGCCGCCATTTTAAAAAAAGGGTAGTCATAGTATTTCCAAACTTAAGGCTGGTATGCAGCTCTCAAGAAATCGGTCAAGAAAAATTTGCCATTATTTCGTGTGTGTGTCCCAGAAATTTTGACATTTTTGATATTTCACAGCCTGTTGCCTCACTCTTTCCTCAAGAAATAATGGAACGGGCATATATTTCTGTTGCAAACCTGGGTTGCCTTGTGCCTTTCTTCACAAAAAAATTTTGAAAACCATACTAAAAAGCGTAGCAAATAAACTCAGTAGGTATGTACATAGGTATTATGTGTTGGAATTATCATTTTATATTTTACCTATATACATACATACATACATAGATTGTTGCTTCTCACCAGTTGTCCTAATAGGGGTATTCTCGCAGTCTTGCAAAGCCCTTGCACTGTGCATGAATTGCACGGTTTGCAAAGCTGTCCCATAGGAAAACCGGTTTTTAAAGTGCAATCCGTGCAACGGCTTTGCAAGACTCCGAGAATACCCCTTAGATATATATTACATATTTTTAATCTGTTATCGGTTGACTTTCATTTTATTTGCTGTTAGCCGGTCGCACATTTTCTATTAATGGACTTCTTTTGTTTACATATATTTTTACTATGGCCTCAATCAATATATACACGCGCTGCAGCAATACATATGCACATAAATAGTCAATTGGCCCTCAATTGTGGGGTAAAAATGTTAACGGCTGATATGTTCTTTTGTTTATTTTCTTTAGTTATACGTACGCGCATGCAAACTTATATAGTACATGTACATATGTATATACATACATATGTTGTGTATCTAATATAACAATTAAGTTATTTTTAGTAAACCTTTGTAAGCAATTGGAAAATGGTTGATAAAACATCAAGAAACCTCGCCAAATTTTTCAACTTGGTTTACTCTCTCTCTTTCGCTCGCGTTTCTTTGAGCGCCAAAGCTTTCAATTGTGGCTCTTCTTACGCACTACATTCAACTTGATTTTATGCCGCTGTTGATTTACAGCATTTGACGCGCAAGCGGCAACCGGTCCTGTGGCGCAATGGATAACGCGTCTGACTACGGATCAGAAGATTCCAGGTTCGACTCCTGGCAGGATCGCAAAACAACATTTTTTTTTGTAATTTGTTTTAAGTTTTTTATAAAACATATTCTTTTACTACTATTTTATACGGACAAATAGGTTTTCAGTGTTAATTGTGATTTATACTTTAATCCCTACTTTCATTTAATTTATTAAGTTTTTATTTAAATTGCTTCATTTTTATATTACATTTTGTTAATTTTTATACTCTTTTACATTTATACACTTTTTTATTTTGTAACAATTTTTTTTTTAACTGTTGGTATATTTTAATTTATTTTTTAAACTACATACATACATGCACTCAAAGGTGAATTTTAGCCAAAACACTTATGGCCTTATTCATAAGCTTTAGTAGCTTTATAAAAGGTTCATTAATTGAAAAATGTATGGAAAGGTCAATTTATAAAGCTCTCTAAACCTACTTTATTTTTATGAATAAGGCCATTAATTTTCAGGAAAGCGGTTTTTGTGTTGTAAAATATGAACTATACACTTTTGGTTTCAGTAAAAATTAGGCTGCTATAGGCCTCATAGAAATATTAAAAAGTATTTAAAATTGTGACTGGTAGGACAGGTTCGTGTGACTGGTGTAAAGTGATTATGTATGAAGTTCCATAGACAAAAATTACAGCTTCACTTTATTTTTTTAATATTTTTCAACAGATTAATGTAATGTAGTCAATCAAAAAGAGATTACTACTGAAATCAAGCTAATAGGGCATATTCAAATTTATGTCGTTTTCCTCTATTACATGAAATTACCCCACTGTTTATATCTCCCATTTCCTACTTTTTCCGGCAACTATCCTGAAAGCTATTTTCTGTTTTTCGAAAGCCTATTTGGAAGATCTGCTGGCGCAGACGTCTTGACGTTATTCTGTTTGCTTTTTACCAATAAGTTTTCTAAACGTAGCAATACAAAAAACAATAAAATTATGGCACAGTGAGAGTATTTTTTTATATTTCACGAAAAATCGGGCTACGATGGATTCAGTGACAACCCTGAATATAAATGATTTATATAAAAACAAGATGAACTAAAACAAGTAAGAAAGTCTAAGTTCAGGCGGAGCCGAACATTAAATACCCGGCGCAAGTATTAAATATATGTTTTTCCACCTTTCCGAAACCTACCGCTAGATGGTAAGCCGGGGTGTATCAATTTTGAGTAAATTAGCGTCCTTAAATTTCGAAATATTAAAGTTTCAAGCATTTCTCAAATTTACCGATATATGAAAAGCGACCGTAATTTTAGTCCGATTTCAATTATTTTCAACGTTTTGCTTTTATGTGGCAAGCACAATAAAAATACCGAGTTTGGTACAAATTGGTAGAACGGTTACTGAGATACATATATGTGATCATAAGTGGGCGGTGCCGCGCNAAAATATCGCAGTTTTCGTTGGAAATTACCTTTATATGGGAAGTGGGCGTGGTTACAGTCCGTTTTCGCCCATTTTCAATACCAACCTACCTTGGATTAATGGAAATCTACATACATACATACATTCTGAGCATTTATGTATACATTTGTCTATATCTATATCGATTCGTTTTGGCTGTTAAAAACAACCGTTATGTGAACAAAATTAATATACCCTTGTGAGCAAGTGCGCACGGGTATAAAAATATACTTTTCATTTTAGAACAAAAGGTGCAATCCCATGTTCCTCGGACTAAAACTAGTAAAACTGTCTAAAAATAAAAATTCGCTCAGACGGTTGTTTGTAACAGCCAAAACGAATCGAGATAGATATAGACAGATGTATACATAAATGCTCAGAATGAATAGAGAAGTCGATTAANCTTTTCATTTTAGAACAAAAGGTGCAATCCCATGTTCCTCGGACTAAAACTAGTAAAACTGTCTAAAAATAAAAATTCGCTCAGACGGTTGTTTGTAACAGCCAAAACGAATCGAGATAGATATAGACAGATGTACACATAATTGCTAAGAATGAATAGAGAAGTCGATTAAGCCATGTCTGTCTGTCCGTCCGTCCGTGTACACGATAACTCGATCAAAAATTGAGATATCTCAACGAAATTTGGTATGTAGGTTTCCATTTATCCAAGGTAGGTTGGTATTGAAAATGGGCGCAATCGGACTGTAACCACGCCCACTTCCCATGTAACGGTAATTTCCAGAAATACGAAAACTGCGATATTTTAGTAACTACTAAAGATAACTCACTCAAAATTGATATTAACAATAATTTTCAGACGAACAATAAGATTATACATTTTTAGAAAATGGGCTGCACCAATTTCTTCCAAACTTGGTACAGCATACTAAATGACCGAAAATTAAAAAAATCGGACAATAACCACGCCCACATCCCATATAACGGTAATTTAGAGAAATACAAAATCTTCTATATATCAGCAGTAAATATTAAAGCTAATTTATTCAAAATTTATGCTTGCAACAATTCTTTACCAGGAAATACGTTTATGATAAAATTTTAGAAAATTGGCGTGGCACCGCCCACTTATGATCACATATATGTATCTCAGTAACCGTTTTTTTTTTGGGTTGTAGGAGCGATGGCTCCTTTAAATGGTCGGGAGTTTTTCAGCTAGCTCCCTAACACCAGGTTATACATGTGTAGACGTTTGACGATTGACCAACTTGTTGTGCTTTTAAACGTATGCTGCTTGCTTGATGAAATGCCAGCGTAACTGTTGACATGAGTTCCGAGCAAGATTGGATTGAATTTCAGTAACCGTTATACCAATTTGTACCAAACTCGGTATGGTTATTGTGGTTGCCACATAAAAGCAAAATGTTGAAAATTATTGAAATCGGACTAAAATTACGGCCGCTTTTCATATTACGGTAAATTTGAGAAATTCCTAAAACTCAATATTTCGAAATTTAAGGAAGCTAATTTACTCCAAATTGATACACGCCGGCTTACCATGTAGCGGTAGCTTTCGGAAAGGTGANCCAATATTTCGAAATTTAAGGAAGCTAATTTACTTAAAATTGATACACCCCGGCTTACCATGTAGCGGTAGCTTTCGGAAAGGTGAAAATCATATATTTAATGTTTGCGCCGGGTATTTAAATTTCGGCTCCGCCCGAACTTAGACCTTTTTACTTGTTTATATTTATATTTCTTTAAAGCATGCAACCTGCAGACATTTTCCGTGAAAAATTGCCAAACCAACTTNATTTCGGCTCCGCCCGAACTTAGACTTTCTTACTTGTTTATATTTATATTTCTTCAAAGCATGCAACCTGCAGACATTTTCCGTGAAAAATTGCCAAACCAACTTCATCGCGAAGAGGCAATATATTTATATAAAAAACGTACTGAAATTTGCATTCTATGCTCAAATGTATCGTGCGTACCTCTTATAATGTACATATTTCGTGCAATTTTTACCGAACTGAGCAGCCCTGTAACCAAATCAGCTGTTCGTTTGCTGCTATTGGAAATTTGTTATTAACAAATATAAACAAAGGATAGAGTGTGAAAAATTAGATCTCGATAAAATGCTGACCGCTAAAATTGGTAAAGTAGGTAAAGTGCTCATTTGTGGCATGAAAGGTGTGGGAAAAACCGCGCTACTGGAACAATTAATTTATGGCAATGTCAACATGGATACGGTACGGTAGTTCTAACCAAGAAGATAGGATATCTGAATGGTGGCTCTACCCACTCAAAATCATGATTAGATATACATACATATGTAAATATATATATATTTTTTTCAGGAGATTCATCCTACAATTGAGGACATATATGTAGCAAGTGTTGATACAGGTCGTGGCGGCGCACGTGAAACGCTCCGTATCTACGACAGTGCTGGTCTACAAGGGAAGGGTCAACTGCCGCGGCACTACCTTTATTTTCCCGATGGTTATGTACTCGTATACGATCCAACAGATCCCAGCAGCTTGGACATGTTGGCCGATATCAAAACTGATATCGATCGTAACAAGGAGAAAAAGGACAATGTTGCAATAATTGTGTT